AACTTTTACAGTAGTTTTGTGTAGTTTTGTCCCCCAGCTGTCGGGGTAGAGGTCCTCGCTCGGTTCCTCACATAATACGTAAGGAGGAGGGAAGGGAAGGAAGTGAGGGAGGGAAAACTTTGCTATACTCATATTACTCATATCAGTCTTTAGAAATGTTTACTCTTGGTGGAAACTCGTAACGGCTTGGAGGAAGGGGACTCATTTAAGCAGTAATGTGTGTATTGTAACCTGCACGCTCAGCCATTTGAAACCGCCATTATGTCACCGTCAGCTGATTCGGCCATTTTTCTTGTTTACGTGTCGAGAACTCAGCTGTTGGGGTAGGACGCGTGCTGAGGTGGTGAAGAACGGGTGAGTGGGTGAGGTTATTTTTTTTTACGGTAACTACGTAGGTCTCACCTGGGGGCGCTGAGTGGTGTGTTGAAAAGGGGGTCGGGGGGTGGGAGGGGCACTACCACCTCACCCTATTCGACCCTTCCCACCCCCTCCCTCCTCCTCGCTGAACCTGTTGCCAACCCACTCCCCGTCCCTCCTCCCACTTTCTATAAGGGTGTCACATTCGGCCCGCTCACTACCACTCATGTTTATACTGTTGTTTGTCGCTTACTTTAACCTTACCTTTTGACCACCGATTATTACCCCACACACACACACCCACATTCACCCCCCCACACCCACATTCACCCTCCCCACACACACACCCACAGTCACCCCCACACACATACCCACAGTCCCCCCACACACACACACCCCCCACAGTATCCCCACACACACACACCCCCACAGTATCCCCACACACACACACACAGTCACCCCCCACACACATACCCACAGTCGCCCCCACACACATACCCACAGTCACCCCCCACACACACACAGTACCTACCCTGGTCAGCTTAAATCACCAAGTAAACACAAGGGACTAGTGGTGACGACAACAAACAGACACCTCTCGGTTCCCTTTCTCCTCCCCCAAATAGTAAATTGTCCTCGGCGCCGTCTTCATGCTTCACCCAATGAGCATATACAGTATTGACTGGGGCGCTTGCTTGCTTGACCCACGTGCCTGTCTCGCTTCCCTGTGTCTGTCTGGTTACCTCCCCCTCTCCCCTTACCTCCCCTACCCCTTCCTTTCCCGTCCCTCTCACCCTGCCCTTACTCCCCCGCCCTTACTCCTCCCTCCTTTCCCCTTGTACTGTTGCTTCGTATAAGAACATATATCCATCCAACCTATGTTTGAAGCTATCCAGCGTATTCGAATTAATGATGATGTTTGATAACTTGTTCCACTCGGCCACTACTCTATTCCCGAACCAATGTTGACCTATTTCGCTCCTAAATCTAAATTTGTCGAATTATTATTATTATAGACTAGAGGAAGTACTTGTAGGGCTATTGGATGTTATTGTTAGTAAAGGCAACATAAAAAAATGAAAACTTTTCCTCAAACATGCCACAGCTTGCAACAGGCCGAAGAACTATTGACCGTCTGACCCTGACCTTTGACCTGTCTCGAGCGAACACTACAACAAGCTCTTCCAGGAACTTCACTAAACGACATGATTTATTTTGCAGCCAGTGCTTGTGTGTGTCGGGTCGGGTCGGCTGGTCCTTCTTGCCCTGCCTGCACCTCAGTCAGCAGTCACTGTGACCTTGACTTTTAACTGATCTCGGCCACGTTGGAAAGATGGGAAGACACACACACAGACACACACACAGAAGTAAAAAATTAACTAGGAAAACTTGTACGTGTTTGGATTCAGCCACATTAAATGATAAGTCGGATGAATATACCTTTAACATAGACAAAGAAGACTGGTCAGGTGTGTGTGCCTGTGGCACTGGAACTAGACTTAGGGGTGGATGGGCTGACAGTCAGAGCGCGCGGTGTAGCTGAGCTAGCGACGGACAGGACCTCTAGCGGCACACACAGCACCAGACTGACTGTTGGACCGCCACCCATTATTATTTACTCTGTACTTTAGTTCACCACCACAAACAATACATGTATTACATTAGTCACCAACGATGTTTTGTAAATAAAAGAGTGGGTTATGGCGGTGAGGGGGGGAGGGGATTATGGTATGATGACAAAAACACAAACAGCTGGGCGGAGCGGCCATGGGTGTGTGATGGAGTAGTGACTAGGGCGAGCATTATCAAGCACTTTGTCTGTCAACATAGGAGTGTGCTTTGTAGTGGGTGGCCTCTACTGCGTTTCCTTCTTCCCTCCCTCCCTTCTCTCTATCTGTTTTTCTCTCCCTTCCTCACTCCATTCTCTCCTTTTCCCTCCCTCTCCCTCCCTCTCTCTCTATTGTCTCCCTCCCCATTCCTTCTTTGTGTACGAACCTCTGTCCTGCGTGGCAGTGAACAGTGGCATAACCCACATGAATCTGACCTATATATAGTGTCAATGAATATGATGCATTCTTTGTGTACGAACCTCTGTCCTGTATGGCAGTGAAAAGTGACATTACCCACATGAATCTGACCGACGTATATGTACTGTATGTATGTGTGCGTGTGTGTATATATATGTACATGTATATGTGTATGTATATATGTATATGTATGTATATGTGTGTGTGTGTGTGTGTTTACATATATGTATATGTACTGTCAATGAATATGATGCATCTCTTTGTGTACGAACCTCTGTCCTGCATGGCAGTGAACAGTGACATTACCCATATGAATCTGACCTATATATATTTATAGTTGTTAATGAATATGATGTATTTCTTTGTGTATGAACCTCTGTCCTGCGTGGCAGTGAGAAGTGATACCACCCTCAGTGTCAAGACCTGACTGAATTACTCAGAATAGGCAAACTGTACTACAAGCTCTGCCAATAAATTTGTTAAACTAAAAAAACCTCCCTCCCTCCTCAGCATTATAATAATATACACTATATAAAGATTTACCCGAGTGAAGATGAGGTAATGAGGGAAAGATGAGGAATTAGGGTATATAAACTGAGCGGCTTGGGAGGAGGGAGGAGAGAGAGAGAGAGAGATGTGGGGGGAGGGAGGGGAGGGAATATGGAGATAGTAAAGGGGGGAGTAATAATATTAAAGCAAATTGAACTGAGGGTATTTTATGGTATTCTCTCTATTTGCCTTTCTGTTTGCTTTTCTTTATGCTTTCATCCTCTGCTTTACCACCACCAAGCGATTATCACGCCTCAAACTTTTTCCTTTCCTCTTAAGTGGTTCAAGAGAATCGTTTATTGTCGTAGTGCCACTTGAGTTGTTAACATTCTCAGAAGATAGATACTGAAGGAACATGTTGTATCTTATTAACCGTAGCATCACAACACAGAGGCAGACAAGATAGCAACGTCCTTAATTTTTCAGTCTTGTGTCGAAAAAAAGATGTTTGGGTAGGTTAAGGTAAGTTAGGTTTGGTTTGATTAGGTCAGGTCAGGTCAAGTCACCGGATTATTTCTGTGCCATTTAGGTGTTGATTCAGTATGCACCGTAGAGTAGTGAACACAGTTTGTCAGTGTCCTGTGGCGTTTATGATATACAGCTCCACAAAACTAACTCTGGGGTGGAGGTGAGGTAGGAGTGGGTCGGAGGTCTGGTGGAAGTGGGCGTAGAGGTAGTGGTGGAAGTGGGTTGTAGGTAAGGTGGCAGTCTGATGGAGGTAGAGGTAAGATGGAATTGGGGTGGAGGTAAGGTGGTAGTGGGGTGGAGGTCTGTTGGAGGTAGAGGTGAGGGAGGTCTGTTAGAGGAAGAGGTGGAAAGTGCGATCAATACTATTTACCTCGTATCCCTCCTGCCATTGAGCGTGTACAATACAGTCTCTCCTCGACTTACGACATATTTGACTTACGCCAACCCAGACATACGACGGCCATGGTCGTATAAAATATTTTTCACATTACATATTTTCGAGTCCACGAGTGAGTGAGTGCTCTGTGTACTCACAAAATTTTCGTTTGTAATTCCCTTTAAAATGGCTGGCAAGCATAAAAGTGAGAGTTCTTGTGGTGCTGAGAAAAAAAAAGACACCCATTTTAGAATTTCTATGTATTATTTTTGCCTTTTCGACTTACGACTAATTCGACTTACGACCTGGTCGTCGGGACGGAACCCCGTTGTAAGTCGAGGAGAGACTGTATGTAGCTCATACACAGACATGTAAATAAAGGTTAAATTTGCACGTTGTTCCTGTCTCGGTCTTTATTTGTAAAGGTCTCAGCCATAATTTAGGTCTCTGAGACATAGTGACCTTAACTATATCACTGGCTCAGACATCTATTGCAGGAGTAAGTCTGACAGTGACGCTTGTTTGAACTTTCCTTTTGAACTATTTTGTTTGTCTTAAAGGAACTTCACATCACTTTAAAATATATCCTGGGTGGGGGAAGGAGGTTACAGTATCTCTCTCCTCATATTGTGGTGTAGGGTCTGTACCTATAGACTGGTGCTGTACCTATGAACTAGTGCTGAACCTGTAAACTGACAGTGCTATTTGCAGTAAGTTGTAGCGACTTATTTATACTGTTATCCAGTATACTTGAGCTCTGTGTCGGCAAAGGGTGCCATACCGTACATTGGGCATTTCATTCCTACCATTCATTTTCTAAAATTATTTATATATCGAGAGCAAGAGTACGAAGGTAGAATTTATTGTTCTCTGCGTTGTACTGTAGGCTGGACTAGGGATGTACAGTACAGTACCTCATTATTATTATCAAAAGAAAAGTGAATTATTTTATTGTTGCAAGGTATTTTTCTATATGTATGATAAGCATAGTTTTAAAAATGCCGCTTTGGTGAATGTTTGGTGTTACAGCTCGGGAGGTTGGGACTGTGTATGATATCGGGGTATAGCTACAGATGTATCAGTGTTAATTGTGTATTTTTTATCACTTCTCATGATTAAACAGGTGAGATGTGTAGCTATACTGTACTGGGTTTGTGTCTGTGTGTTACAGTATTATATTGATATATCTATTAACATATTGTTTGTTTTTTATACCTTTTCAGAAGACTTCAAATAGTGTGGAGGTTTTTATGGAGATAGGACTTGTGGGAAGACAATGGGGAAAATCAACAATAGAAACTCCATGGTGTCAACTAGACGCAGGCTAATAAAGGGTAAGTTATGCATAAATGGTCAGTTTCTGTACTTTAACCACTTATACTCAGAGGCTGACCCCATACACAAGGTGGTTAAGGGTATTTGAAGGTGTTATGTTAAGGATAATGAAAGCCGCTAATGTATGGCTTCAGGTGTACTCAGATGGCCAGGAGTAATGGGAGGATTGTGGTTAGTTTATGGTGTATTTAGCTCAGAGAAGACAGAGGTGTTGTCATCAGTTGGTTTCACCTCAAACACAAGTACCTGTATAAGTAGTGGATAAGTTCCTTGTGACTTGACTGCCCCCTTGTTGAGATGCTTGTGTTCACTCCAAGTAATATACCGTAATTGTCATATCCTTGTTAAGTAGTCGATGGCCAGTATATTTTGTTTTGTTTTTGTTATTCTCTGTATCTAAACAAGAATTAGAAGGCAAAGAGAATTCTGTAAACGTGTTGACAACTGAACAGTAATATTATATAATGGTTTCCAGTTTTCTGTCCATAGTAAGGTCAAAGTGTCCATTTTTGTTTGTTTTACTTGAGAATTACACAGTAGTGACATAAAGGTTTGGTGTTTTTTTTACTTTACTATCAGTTTGTGTTATATTTGAAACATATGTCAGGCATTAATAGTTGTTATCAACCACAGTTACTTCAATATGTACATATACATTAGTTTTCTCTGTCCCAGCTCAGCTATAAAAATATATTTCCTTGGGTTATCTTCAATTTTTTCATTTTCATCCTTCTTTCATAGCATCTTCCGGGGTGGGTGTTAAAAAAAGCCGTAGTCCAGCTAAGGTCTCCCTGCCACCCCCACCCCCACCACCACAGTCACTTGTGGTGGATGAAGACTCTGGCTTTGGTGGTGACCAGTCCTTGGACTCGGAGTCATCCGTGCTGTCAACCCTGGGACCATCGGGAGCGGGAGTGGCTTCCTTGCCGTCGGTTCTTCCTTCGCTAGCGATGGTACCCCAAGCGGTATGTACTTCCTATGTCTCTTGTTTATAATGTTAATGCTTTTTATTAAAGTTTTTCCACATATTGCAGGTTTAAGCCACGAACCAAATCAGTCATCCTGTCGCGGGAAAAATTCACTGCAGTCAAATGAGTTTAATGTTTGTGCTTCTTACCATCATCACTGATATTGTAGTTGCAAAGTTCCAACTTATGACATGGACAGTAACAATCTACAATTATTAATTTGTAAAACATCTTAATGATATATAAAAAAAATCAGCTTACTTTATATATTTACATGAAAGCGTTTTAAAGTCCTTAATGCTCTGCTGATTAAATTCAAGAGCTGTTTTTATTGGCCAAATGAACATTGCTTATAATGCGAATGTCAGTGATAGCATGTAAGCACGAGGTTCTCAGCACATTTATTTGCACAGCTTGCTCCGTTACATTGAGTTTTTGCAAGCCACAGGAAGAACGTGAAGAGAGCTTGTTCGACCTGGGTAAGTATGGACCTGGGATGGATGGAGGCTCACTTGTCCCTGTGTTTCCTCACCACCACATTTGTTGTGGTGGATGTCTGACCCTGGTGTCCCGTTTGGGTTGTGTCCTTACAGAAACTGTTGCTAGTCAGTTTGTTGCAAGGTGCTGGAGGCGTGCAAGGTACGGGGACCAGCCAGAAAACCTCAGGAAACATTGCGGTAGGGGCTTTTCCCCCCACAACACAAGCGAGCGTCAGTAATGGCACCAACCAAACGGGGAACACTCATGGTGCAGTGATGTCCAGTGGTGCAGACAAGGAGGGTCAGAGCTCTCAGAGTGTACGGCCCTTGCTGGCTGCTGCCTCCCTCAGTCTCCAGGGTGCAACTGGCACTGATGTTCTGTCTGAGCTGCCAGCAGCCAGCACCAACTCTCCCTCCAACTACCCCTCTGAGCCTGTGGCATTTGGAAATACAGGCCATAAGGTAGGCACCATTACACATGCAACCCACATCATGCCTCCACCTTCCTTGGGGCCCTTCTGGGGAGGCCCTCCCACGGGGGGACCTCCTGTAGGAAGGGACTCTGTTAAAGCTCAGCATAATTGAAGGCTCTATCTCCCATGGCTGGTATTCAAGCAATTGGCTCTCATTTTAATGGTTGTTGAAAATAGGCAAAGGGATCCATGGGAGATCTGAGCCTTGCCAACGTTCCCATCATTCACCGTCTTATCCACAGGACTGTTTAATGTAAATCATAATTTTTATTATTTTTTTAAACTAAAAGTCCTTTGGAAATTTTAAGACTACAGTAAACTAGAGTAAATCCCACACTAGAGCATCCTCATTACATCAGAACCTGCCACAGAACTGCATGCTTGCACTACAGTCCACCGCTCTGACAGGTGCTAAGTAGCTATTTATTCGCCACAGTAGCTTATAAATGCTTCAGTGCTATCATTATAATGAAAATAATAACTTTTTAAAGATACAGTATAAGTGTCCTTTTTTCACTGCTGTAAGCTTATAATACAACTAAAGGGATATTTCATAATATTCCCTGTCATAAAAAAGACCACAAAAGCCACTTCGATGTTGTGTCAAATAATTGTACTGTACAGCTTTCGATAAGTCATCAGTGGATGCATATATATTTTGTTGCAGAACTAATGTGAACTCAAGCTTTTTTATAATTTTTTTTTGCCAGTTATCTGAAGATCTTTAATAGCAGAACACCAAAACTTCAGAAATTCACATTGTTGCAAGAGCTTGTCTTCTTTAAAGACAACTTTCATCCATAATTCAGTATGTAATCAATATTCACAACTGACATTCAATGGAATTTTCTTAAGAAATGATTCCTGATGGCTGCGAGCAACAAGAGGGAGGTGATGTATGTGCTTGTGTGTCCATGTATGTATGTATGTATGTATGCTGCATGTATGCAATTTGATGAAATAATTTTGAGTAATATACAGTATGTGGTCAGATGTGAAGATACATTAATACATTACTAGTGAAGATTGTGCACAACATTAACTTCAGTCTCTTATTAAGTCATATTCTTCCATGTTAAGTGAAGTTTGTTTCATGGTTAAAATAAATGAGGATTTGAGTCAACGGAAGAGTGTATCTTTGTTCTTTGTCTTTATTGAGGTCTGAAAGTAACTTAAATGTTGATTGATAAGTAGACACATTTCCATCTTTCATCCTTGTATACATAATACTTGACCTAACTGCACATAGATGTTATAGTGTACAGTACATTCCTCCGACCATCATCAATATTACAAACTCATGAAAGCCGTAATAAGGGGAAGAGCCACCTTTTGGAGTTTTATCATTCTTTGTACTTAATGATAGTGGTGGACTGGAAGAAGGTAATTACTCGAGTTGCATCATTGTTACTCAGAAAAAAATTACAGTAATTAAGTTAGGTGCGGTACTGAATTCCTTTTTCATAGTACTGTACTCAAATACTCAGTGAAAATAACACCAATAAGATTTTGTTCATGAATTAAGAGCATGGGTGTACGGGATCAGTAGTCTCTGGGTGGTCGGGTGTTTGGACCTGACGAGAGAGATGTCGCTCAGAGCCCTCAGACCAACATTTCCATAACCTAAACTCATTAAGCTAGCACAGGTGCATACAACCATACCAGTCGCCAAATAAAATTCCTTTGTAAAGTAATACCAGTACACAGTTTTGTCTTCTTATCCTATTTTCCTCCCTATTTACTTATTCGCTCATTGACACGATGTGATGGACTCGACAAAGTGAGGTAAAATGGACCTGACGCAACACATACACCTCACCTCTGAGTTATTCACTCACTTAATTTAACTTGTATTCTTGATTAGCTTTTTTCTTCAGCTCATCATTGCAGACTTTGATTGGTGACTGTGACACTTCGTTCAACTCTCCAGCGTGTAAATAGAAGGAACTGCTGCCTTAGTTCAGCCTTTACCTTCTCACTTATTACTGTGCCATAATTTCATGTTTGATTTTGTCAGAAATAATGAAAACAAAGGCAACTGTGCATTTCTCTTTGTTATGAATAAATCCTTCAGTAATTCTGGCTCATGTTCTACTTCTTGCTGTTCAATTCTGCCTCTCGTTCGCTTAAAGCTTTCTGCACTCTACATTCAGCGCTAACCAGTTTTTATTTTGGTTGTTTTAATAGGCGACACTATGTGCTTCTTTTTGTGTTTCATTGTTGCTAGTGTTTAACAGTTGTTACCCCGTAAAGGGAACGAAAGATATAAGAGTTTTATATCCTTTCCAAGGAGTTTTTCCAAAACTATTCAACACAGCCACTTGCACACAGCTTCTCATGCCCATACAAACTGTCTTGTAATTCTTCATGTTTTTCCTCTGTATAATTGTACAATGACTCGGCTAGGTCCTTTTTTATATTAACCTTCTTGAAAATGTTGTTAGATTACAAGGAAACATACAGTAGTGTAATCATGTTCTTGACTCACATACCATACATCAGGTCATTATCCAGTGTTTCACTCAGAGGATGATAAGTAACATGGTCATAAGTGGGGCACCCTACCAGCAGACTCACAACTCTTGGGCCAACTTTATCTCACTTCATACTCTTCTTTGCCTTGTGTATAAAACTTCAGTTTAATGCAAAACATCTCATTTTCTTTCTTCTTGTGAAACAAAATATCTAACCCAGGGGTTTTCAACTTTTCGTCTACCACATTCCTTTTTTACATTATCAGCACTACTCTGGTACAGTACCCCTTGAAAGGATAAAGTGAGAGAAAGTGCAAGAATGACATTCATTTATTAAACACCATCTCCCTTCTCCCCTCCTCATTTCAGATACTGTACAGGTGTGATGATAAGTGTGGGTGGTGTACATTGAACGTACCACTTCTTTTATTTATTAATACTGCACATTATTCATAACATTAGAAATATGACAAAAATGTGCTTGGGTCACATTTTAAAACGCTAAATATTTGTTAGTCAGTCATTTTTAAATTATACAACATGTTGATTTATGAATCCTTCAACTCTTCAGAACAGAAACATTAAATAAAGTTGCTGCAGAACATTTGTAGTACAAATTCATATTGATTTTATTATCTTGCATTATTTATTAATAATTTGACCTTATAGAAATGAAACATTAACAAATAGGGATACATTCAGTGTACAGTACACCGCTGCACACCTGCTGGCAGAATACTGTACAGTAGAGGGTATACGAAAAAAATCCTAAACTCTTTGTCACTGTTGTGTTCAAATTTCAGTTTCCTTGCTCTAAAAGTAATGTTGTGTCTAAATTTCATCTTCCAAGCTGAGAAAGTGCCTCATATACGTATATGAAAGAAGGCAGCGGTCCCCTAGTATGAAACAACTGCTATCTGTACTGTATTAGGTTTTACTAATAAGTAAAAACATTACCCGAAACAAGAAACCTGTAAAGTGAACACAGTGCACAACTACAGTAGTACCTAAGACTGCATGAAACACACTGCCATGTGTCACTGGCTGTCACCAGGCAATTTGTTCTTGCACTTGTCTTTAGGTTGTCAGTGGTCCTGGTAGAAGAACACTTGGTGAACTTGGGGGAGGAGAGGGCAGAAGCTATTACTGCAGTCAGAAATGTTTATACTGTACTGTACTTGTCCTCTTTGCATAATTGTTTATACATACAGGTACAGTATTACATATTCTGACAGTCAGTGGGGAGGCTTGTCTGGTTCATGAAAGTTGATGGCACAACATACTGTATCCAATAGGAAATAAATCACAACTTTTTTAAATAAGATTGAAAATTTATCTACATATAACATGTGTCTGACACTGAGTAGGTACTGCATATCTTATTGATATCTTCCTGAACCCCTAAACTTTGTCAATATGGGAATGGCTGGATACTTTATTCAAAGGAAAATCAGTAACAGACTACAGTAAGATTATTTTTGTGCTTGCTGATAGGATTTATCATAACAATTATTAAAGAAACTTAATTCTGCACAAAAATCTTGCAATGTTCCTGATACTGTAACAATATTAGAGTTACTAGAGACTGAACATCAGTACTTCCTCATTCTTCATCTTCTTGTCTATACAAAGTTTCTCATTTTCCTCTCGAGTGTTGCGGACAAAATGTAATAAACACATTCAACACCATTGCATAGAAGCTGCAGGTACTGTACAGTACTGTATTGACACAGTCAAGTCACTACAGAAGTGCTAAGAATTCTGTACTGCTTCAGGTTCATGTGACTGACTGCCTCAAAACCATTCACATTTCTTCTTCATAAGTTCATTTATTCATGATAATGTGGGACATAGCATAAAGTAACTCAAAACAAAGCAACATGTACAGTAGTGTTCACAAACCATAAATACTGGTAGATACTTTTGTTCTACCTTTCAAATCCGTTAGGAAGAGAAAAACAAGAGATGACTTGTATGGGAATTTAGACAGTGTTGTAACACAACTGAGAGCTATTGGGCATATTTACACCTTGGAACATGCCCACCACCAGAGGGGTCTTCATCTCACACACGAAGTATACACAGAGTGAAATACTGTATCTGACCTTGGAAACTTGGTGATTATAATTGATTTGTGTTCACAACTAACCATTAAATTTTTGCTCAAGGATGCTTTATGCCTACCCATCCCTAAATAGTGTATTACATTACAGTATTACTCATTTCTTATCTACAATATGATGCTGGCAGTGGTGGGTACCAGAACTACACTGACTTTCCTATTATGTGTAGTTTTCTCTCCCTATTACTAATAGTTGGAATAAAAGGCAGTCTATTCACAGTTCATTGTCTATGCTTTTCATAGGTCTCTCCCTCTCAATCACTTCCGTAGATGATCTCACAGTTGCTCTTCTGCTGCACGCCTTTGATGGCGAATGAAATTTTCCTTTTATATCATGTGGGAAAAACTAAATTAATTTTCTGAAAATTTATTTTGGAAATACTTTCCTGTAATATTCTCTAAAGAAATAATAAATACTGTCTGGTGTAGAGCAGGCATGGGCAACCTTTCCTCACTCATGGGCTGCATTACGATTTAGGTATTTTTCTGCTGGCCTACCCACCAAAATTTATATCCTACCTAACCCAAAAGTACATTAATATTATATTAGCACGGACAGTGAAACAGTTTATTGTCACGTAAACCTTACGATATTTTCAATTTACAATCGCAGTCTTTTTCCCATTTATGAAACAAATCCATCATAATAATTTTTTTAGTATTATGTTAATGTTTCTTGGCATTTAACAGAAGATGAGTGAACCATTGAATACGTTGATTTTTCTTACTTATGAGACACACACCACCAGAATAAACCCTATGTTAATCTTGGCACACGAGGAACTACAGTGAAACAATCTACAGTACAGGCACATTCTCTCTCTCTCTCTCTCTAACTAATATATATATATATATATATATATATATATATATATATATATATATATATATATATATATATATATATATATATATATATATATATATATATATATATATATATATATATATATATATATATATATATATATATATATATATATATATATATATATATATATATATATATATATATATATATATATATATATATATATATATATATGGCAGTTTCGACCCAAAATTAGTATAGGTACTCCCGAGCGTGCATATTCCGAATCTATGGTCCACGATTTGATTGAGGGGTAATTAGTGGTCGTAATGACACTTGGATTTTTTTAATTACCCTGTACATTGTTTCACTGCTAATTACTCACCAACTATGGGTTTCTGAGGTGTGATTTTGGCATTTATGTGTTATTTTGTAAGTACAGTACAGTACAGTACTTAATTAGTTAAATCCTTTAAAATCCAATTCCAAGAGAAAAGTATACAGCTAGACCCCGAATTACGACGGGGTTAGGGACCCAAATCCAGGTCGTAAGTCCGAATGGTCGTAAGTCCGACATAGATAAAAAAAAAAATTTCAAATTTTTTTTTTTCAAATAAAAAATCTACAATGAAATACAGTATAGTAAAAGTAATAAATAATGAGGAATGGATACGGTACAGTGTGACCGAGCACTTCCCTTTAATGTAGTCAGCTGAATGCACATGGGGCCCCCATAATTTTCTAATTATACATGGAGACTACATTAACTGGAAACGTTTCGGTATAGAAAATGCGTGCGTCATTTTGAAGAAAAAATTGGTCACAACTTCGGCGGTCGGTATAGGTACTTCTGAGCACGCTGCTTCTGAATCTATGGTCCATGATTTGATTGAGGGTTAATTTAGTGGTCATAATGCTGCTTGGAAGATTTTAATTACATTATTTGGACACTAATTAGTAACTATGGGTTTCCGAGGTGATATTTTGGCGTTTATGTGTTATTGGAAGTACAGTACTTAATTAGTTAAACCCTGTGTGACCACTTAGACTCACCCAACCTTAGTTAATTCCCAAGTGACTCACTGCCACATGGCAGCTAATCCATCAAACAGACTTCGCCGAACTTGGCCCGTAAACTCACGCAAGTTAAAATATTTATATTGTTGACTATACAGTACTGTATACACTTATTTCAATGTTACATTTCGGTAGTTACTTACTCTTAAGTGATGAAACAGTGATGAACTGTGTGTGAAGATTATTCTTTTTATAAATATCGCTTTATTCACCATAAACTGGCTGCATCTACCGGAACCACAGGCCACATTAATTAAAATTTCTCACTCACTCCATGGGCCGCATAAACACATGGTCCGGGCCGCGGGTTGCCCATGCCTGGTGTAGAGTATTCTCATCATTTCAATCTTCCAAGCTCACCTGTGTGCAGTCTCTGCTGGTGTTTGTTCTCCACTTTCTATTTTGTGCCTTTCTGATTTCTCCAGTTGAGCATCTAATTGTATTTATCCTCTCAGCACTACAGCATACTGCAGTAACTTGGGGAAGTCAGGGTTAAACAAGTGTAAAATCTGGTATGTATAAAACTTCCACCCCATTTCTATGCTCAGATTCTCAGTTGTTATACGGTATGTCAGAGGAAACATTGACTTGTGTACAGAACATTATAAAACACATATGAAGAATATTGAGTATTGTATTGATCATAAGTACTGTACATTGTGATAATTACTTAGGGGCCTGTTAAAAATACCCATGGAAGTAGTAGTGGATGTTACTGTAATCATCAGATTGTTACCGTGCTTATAGACCTAGGGTTAAGGTGTGCGAGTTTGAATTTTGACTGAAGCAAAGCGAATGTAAATATATTTTTTTTTGGTGTGTGTGTGAAGATGAGAATGATGTGTTCCAGTACAGTATTTAGTAAGTTAGGGTGACGAGGGTTGAATGCATCAAGTGGAGGAAAGGAACGAACTGTGACCATGTAAAGGGTTTCTTATGTTCAGGTTAGAGTGCAAAATGGAAGTGGGATCGGTTAATTTTGTTTCGCTGCCGTCAGTTTATCAGCTCGTAGAAGTGGCCGCCTAGTGTGGGGGTCGTTGACATACAATACAGTACCAGGTGTGAAAGATAAAAACACCTAAGATTTTCACTTGGTAAAACTTCATCACTATACAGTAGTTGTTTATACAGTATACTAATTTTTTTGTGCTTGAGTCCTCTAGGTAGACGTTGATTATTTTGTTTTATTAATGATAGAATGTAGTGAAATAAACCAAAACTCATTAAACTCCATATTGGTGGCTTTAGACATACATACAGTACCCAGAGTGTTTTTTTTTCATGCTCAGTTCACTTATATTTTTGTTTTTAATGCTAAATCCTAAAATTGAAGACTGGAGTTAATTTAACATCGTCATAAGTGGTAACCTCTACTAGTGCTTTTGGTACATCACACCAGTGTCTCGTGAGTTCCTCTAAACTATGAGACGACTATAAATCTCATTTTACCAGACAAACAGACAGAATCAATCCTTTGTACTGTAGTTGGTTACCATCTCATGACATTGCTTGTCTTTTTAATATTACTAGAGTGTATACATGATTCTTTAAGTTCTCTCTTATATCACTATGTTCTCCATTTGCAATTTCAAGTTGGTCTCACTGTACAGCATCTGTATGTACATAATGAAGGAAGTCAGGGTCGTCTTGCTGGGATAACTACACATCACAGGCAGCACTCTTAGTTCAGAGTTCCAGAACACAGTCAATTTGGGGAAGAGATTTTATTTGACGTACAGTAATTAATTCCCAATCATCATATAGCGTAACCTGTCCCCTTCTCTCATGCGGTCGGGATATGATGCAGGTTAAGGATTGGTTATTAAAATTGGTCTTTAATGTACAGTATTGTGTTGCCTTCCTTTTTTTTTTACTTTCATAACAACAGACATACATAAAGTTAAGGAATAATTAGGGTTATGAACTATAGTTAAATTGGTAAATATTCAGCATTGTGTAAGACTTCTATGTGCCTCCAAAAAATTGGGTAACTTTGAGACCTTCTGAGTCATAGTGTATAGTACAGTTATCCACAAATATCCCATCACCTCTCCTCCTGAACCACAAACCTCGAGATACAAAATAGTGAATCTGAAGCCTTTACGGACAGAATAATGCATCAGTGTTTACTGCTTCGGGTTTACGAGTCTGAATCTCAAGGTTTATGGTTCAGGAGGAGAGGCGACAGGACTTTTGTGGGTTATTGTACATTTTTTCTGACAATCTCGACAAAAAATTATTGAATTAAGTGAGAAATTTTCAGTTAAACAAAAAAAAGTAAATATGATTGATATACATTACTATGAAGTTGAAATAAGAAGAGGTGCAGATACTAAATACTCTTCTGTTTTATAAGACAAATTTATGCAATACATAATTCATCATTCAGATCCATTTATAATGGAGTACACTATACAGTACTGTAGGTACAGAGATGTGGAATACTTTCTCTTGGAGTATTGCACAAATTACTAAGTAGATGAATCTTGTATGAATGTTCAGTGGTTTTCACAGAATTATGTTTTTGTTTTTATTAATTTATTTAATTACCATTTCCAAATGATAAGGCTCACTACAAGTTGTTGATAACCTGCTTGTTTCATATGCATTGTTGGATGTCTATAGAATTGTTTTGCTACAGAGTTACATGGCAGCATTGATTGATATCTTTTAATGCTTTTGCTGCCAGTTAAGATAATTCCACTTTGAGAGTCATAAGGTTGTGTGTCTCTGGTTTACACAGGTGGTGGAGAACAAGTTCAGTATCTGTGACAAGAATCTACATGTGGATTTAGGGGGTGAGGAGGCCCAGGAACTGCCTGCTTCTAGAGGAACTACAAAAACACACTCAGTACCACCACTAATATCCTTCAGGGATGTGTCTCTTCTCTCTTCATTAAACCCATTTCAGTAAGTATCACTTTGTTCATATTACTGATTTAACACTTAAATTGTGGCATTCATAATGGGAAGTTCCAGGGATCAAAGATTCCTTCTAACGGTGATTATTGTGCATTATATTTATGTACAGCATAGTATGTATGATTGAAGGTCCCTGTTTGCTCTATATTCAAAGATGGCTTAGGACTTATGTTTTATTGGGTTACCAAGTAACAGCAATAACATTTATTTCATTTAAAGGGGCAGGGGAGAGAAATATTTATTCAATATTGACAGATTTTGCATTTGCAGGGGCAGTAGAGGTACTTGTGGTGCTTCATTACTGTGTGTAGACGGAACTCCACAACCATGTGGACGCAGTAACAAGATACTCAAATCAAATGTTCCCCATACATCCCCTCCCCTCACCTCTCAGCTGTCACCCACTTCCTCTGATGGAACAATAGAACTGAAGCTCATCACCCAGCCAGAGGAACAACACCGTGCACGCTACCAGACTGAAGGCTCCAGGGGGGCTGTTAAGGATAGAACAGGGTTGGGTCATCCTACAGTGAAGGTAATTCTTGTAATTCATCATTTCCTCATGAATGTCTAACATCATGATTGTCTGGCTTTTTATTAAATTCTTGCATTCCCTCCCTCCTTTCTAAATGAAATGTAATCTACCGATACTTAATTTTTTTTTTTTTTTTTACTTCGAGCTAGGAAATTAAAATAAAGGAAGGTAGTTTTGTGAATGGAGGAGATTTTTTTACATTGAATATTGGAGAAGCTCTTGTTCTGCTTTGGAGACTTACATTACTAACTAGGCACCAACATTACCTCATTACTATAACCTGGGGAACTTTGTAATTATTGGAGACTACAAAGGGAGATCACTGATTACTGTACACATGATCTTAAGATGCTCAAGAATTGAACGCGTTTTATGGAATGATTAGCAAATGCATTCACAAAGAAGACTCCCAGCCCTAGGTAATAAATTTTTTAAAATCTTCCAGCTGTGTGGATATAACAAACCGACAGTAGTTCAGGTGTTCGTTGGGTCTGACACTGGAAGGACGGGACCACACATGTTCTACCAGGTTTGTCGCGTCAGTGGCAAAAACTCGACGCCGTGTAAGGAACGGAGACTTGATGGTACTGCGTTGATTGAGGCTTCTCTTGACCCCGAAACAAACATGATCATGAGGTATGTCTTATTATTATTTCCTAATGAGGGTTGTAATATAACATGAAAAGTGTATGTTGTGCACATGTGTGTGTGTGTTGTGTGTGTATGTGTGTGTGTATGTATGTATGTATGTATGTATGTATGTATGTATGTATGTATGTGTAATAATAATGATAATAATAATTATTGACAGTTTATTGAAAAAATATGGCTGCCCAAAAGGCTGAAGATATACAGTCAACAGTAATGGGAATGGATAACTTGATTGACAAATAATATACAAGTAACATAAGTGGTACAAATATGATATATAATAATAAGGGGGGGATAGGGTCATTTAACAGGAAATTTCAGCATAGTAACAATACAAAAGTAAGATTGGCAGGGAGTGAACACACTGGTTGATAATTTTTACAATGGTTGGGATTGGGCTGTTCTTATAGCGATCAGTACGTGGTCGTTTGGGCTGGATGCAGTTGTAGTGTCGAACAGCAATTCGCAGACTTGGGAGACGGTGTCGAGGATGGTGCAGAAGCTACTCCCCAAATTTGCAGTTAAGGTCACAGTGATGATCAGAAAGAGCTGAGAGGGTCAGTGTGTTGAGTGCTTCTTGATATGTGAAGTAGGAGGGGGAGAGAATAATTTTGCATGCCCTCTTCTGCATTTATTTCTAGGTGTTTATGTTATGTGGCATTTAGAGGGAAGATCAGGCAGGAGAAGCATAGGTGAACTTGGGAAGTATGAATGTTGAGTAAGCACTATGTATGTGTGTGTGTGTTTGTTGTGCATATGTGTGTGTGTCTGTGTGTGTGTGTCTGTGTGTGTGTGTGTGTGTATGTATGTGTGTCTGTGTTGTGCACGTGTGTGTGTGTGTGTGTGTGTGTGTGTGTGTGTGTGTCATGCTCGTAAGGAATAATTGCAGATAGAGGGTACTGTATTTTTCTCTTTTTAAAATATTCACAGCAGCAAGTATAGTGGGATGATCATATAGAACATCACAATATAAACTATGGATGAATAGCATCATTACTTACCTAACTGTCTTACCTATCTTAAATAAAACAGGAAATTTTATTATATGTAAATTAATTTTCATTGAGTTATAGGAATAAAAATCAAAACTTAATCCTGTTTTACAAAAGATTCAGTTACATTTTAAGGTTTAATCAGATTATTATTTTTACTATATTTAGCTTGGCATATCATCATCATTACCACATTCATTTTATCACCTTCTTCCACACTTATATCAGGCAAGTGTGAAACAAGTTTTATGGCTGGATGCCTTTCTTTTCACCAACCCACTTTTACAGAGTAGGAACTGGTCATTATATGTAGGACCTCACAAGTCTGCTTATTCCTCATTACCTTACCTACCATCTTGTAAGGTCAGGAATGCAAATAGCATTGTCTCCAAAATCTCATGTAATGATTGACATATAATGGTGAGACAGGTTGTGGGTAATCTTGGAGGACTACAGGGAGTAGTGATCCCGCCTTATTGGCTAAGAGGGCACTTGAAGATCTTACATATATTGTCATGCCCAGTCTCCACTCTGTAAAAGTAGGTTGGTGAAAAAAAAGGCATCCTGCCATAGAACTTATAGATTTCAAATTTGCCTGATGGTAAATGGGTCACTCTCTCATCAGGTGATTGCTTGTCAGTTCTTCCATTAGACCTTGTAAGGCATTGGTTTCATTCTTTAACTGAATTTTCCATTGACAAAATGTTTTTCATGTTTTTAAATATAAATACAAAAAAAAGGCAAACGTTTATTTCTTGGGTGATGTGTATGATGTTAAACAGTTTCATATGTGAACAGTTGTGACTGTGTAGGCATCCTGAAAGAGCGGAATGTGGATGTGGAGCACAGATTCAAGGCTGCAGTGTCACGAGGTCGCAAGAAGAGCACTAAATGTCGTCTAGTATTCCGTACATTTGTCACGCTCACCAATGGCACTCGGGAAACTTTACAAGTGGTCTCACAGCCTATTGCCTGTAGTAAGTAACATGATGCTCTCTCTTTCTCCAGATATATTTAATTTGTGGTGTTTAACCATCCAGAGCACAACATTAACCTACATATTATCAGCTGTTAATGAAAGAAACCTTGCTTTACCTTATATGACCCGATACAATGCAATTTCCACACATTCACTATCATGACAATCAATTTTGAAGATACATTATAATGAGATATTTTTTTATATGCTGTTCTTTAAAAGTGTATTAGTCTTCCGCTCTTTAAATTATTTTATGGAAAATAACAGGAGTATCTTGCCAACAGCTCAGCCACCTGGTGTCCCAGAAATCTGCCGCAAATCACTTACCAAGTGCTCTCTAGCTGGTGGGGAGGAGATGTTCATCTTGGGCAAGAATTTCCTCAAGGACACAGTTGTGATCTTTCATCAAAATGGCACCAAGTCTCAGCCAATCTGGGAGGAAAAAGTCTCACCAGACAAGGAAACTCTCCAGTCTGTGAGTTTTTTGCAACTTTTACTGTACTAAATCCCAATTAGATGTTATAAATCTTTGCAAAGTGAAAGGTTTAGTGTGAGAAAAGAAAGCAGGTGATCATCTTGGCCACCACCTATTGTCTAATAACAGTGGTTGATCTTCATGATGTATTTATTTTTCCAACACATATCTGCCACAATTCTGGAGAAAAAATCTGAATATTGATGTTTGTCATTTATGGTAGAGAAATTAGAATACATAATTGATAGTTTCCACTCTGCCCTGTGTGTGAATGAGACACCTGTGAGTGCTCAGTTGCACAAAAGGCTTACATTAAATTAACCTCCCCCAATGTGAGAGATGGAGGAGAAATATATACTGTACTGTACCTCTACAGTATATATAAGGTACAGTTAAAACCCAAAATAAGTCCAAACCAATTTAAACTTGTTAAAACCAGAAGACACAATGGCTGTACAGTACAACTAATATTACCAAGGCAAAACAAGTTACACCAAAGGAGGATGGGGAAAATCTTGCCACCATCAGCTGCATCACACTACATTTTAACAAATTTATGCACCCAGCATTCATTTATGAGAATTTGGTCTTACGGGGATTATAAAAATGGGAGTACGTAATTTGTCTTATTCTTTTGTGAAACATTCAGAGACGGTAGTTGAATAAGAAAAAAAATAACCTTCAAGTTGAATAAAAGTTAACAATGGAAACCAAAGAGTTAAGAATGTGAGATTTATTTTTACACAGCCTAATTTATTTTTATATACTGTACTGTATACCATAATTACTACCCTTTTCTGCATTATTAGACACAGAACTTGCCCTGTCATTCATTACAAATATATTTGGAATGCATCTACTCTATATCCTCCTTTCAGATTCACTTAATTGTGACAGTTCCTAAGTATTATGATCAGTCCATCACTGAGGAGGTGACAGTGGACGTGATTGTGTCCTCCGGAGGCAAAACTTCCGAATGCCACAGCCTGACGTACGTGCCGCTTGTGACTAAGAGAGGTAAGTAGCGTGGCAGCCGTGGCGGTTGTCACTGTGTCTTGCTTGAAGTCATCTGTGCTGGCCCATTCAAGGGAAGGGAGAGGATTGTCATCATGCTGATACATACCTTGAAAAGATTACCAGCAGATGTTTTGAATGTTTTGTGCAATAAGCAAAGGAAGCTCTTCATTTGTGTATTGTCCCATGTAAACCCTTACCTGTCATTCCCCATCTTTTGTTTGGTATTCAACCCAGTAGCTTGTCATAAATTTTTTAAAAATCCTTATTCACCTTATTGAAGAGCCAAGTATTTGAAGATTATTTAATTATTTGTATTATTTTCTTAAATGCAATAAACAGTAAATGTAAATGTCAGATACCAGAAAAATGCCTTCTCTTCCCTTGGTTATCTGCTTGATTTTAATTAATGTTCAACTTGACCAATTGTGTTTCTACTCATAATATTTGTGAGTAAATAAATTCCAATTTTTTTCTTTAGTAAAGCTACTTGCTAGAACAACATCAGGCAGGTAGGCCGGCTTCATTAATCACCAGCACATGTTTAGTCCCCGCTACTTTCCTCCAGAGCCTTGCCATGGGATACTGTTCTCAAAGTGAGGGTTGGGAGGAATCAGGGATTATCAATGCAACCGCATGTCAGTAGGGAAGGCAGCAGGTGTTTATGGTTCTGTGGCGCCCAGTCTGTGCTCGCTCGGGCGTCATAGTCCAGCTACACCCTCTTGTAAGGGCAGACTGCTAGTCCATAGTGCATCATTGTGCCAACTTACATGTGACAACTTTGTTGTCAGTTCTGTCTTATGACTTTTTTCTTTTTTCTTTTGTCATTTGTTTATTCACTTGCCATGGTTCAAGAGTACACCAGTCAACCCCCTTCCCCCTTCATCCTTATGGATACCTCTCATTTGAGTTTAATTTCTTTAAATATTAATGTTTTAAAACTTAAAAGCCACCATAAACTGGCAGCAAAGTTGCATAGTCTGCCCTTCCATGGTTACTGAGAGTGCTACATTATCAGCTGAGCTGCTGCTGGAAGAGTTGGGAGGCTCTGGAGGTAGGTAGGGGGGGCGGGGAAGGGGCCACTAACACCCCCCTCTCATCTCCTGGTGTGTATGCAGACCACATCAGGCTGCATCCTCACCAGATGGGGGTAACACATGCACCCAACTTCCATGCCTTAAGCAACATTTAATTGAACAGTTATTCTTCTACTGAGAATATTTTGGAACTGTATATATAAATATCTTCCCAATTATGATTAAGCATGTGTTGCCTAAGATCTTGATCATGTGGGCTTTCTCAATCATTTCATGAGGGTGGTTGCCCTACTCTGTGGTTGGAGGTCTGGGCTGTGCCATTATCAGGCTGGCCAATCCAGGTCTCCCTTGTACCATTCTCATGCCATTGCCATTGTGCATGTGCAAGATTTAGGAAGCCCGGGACGCTCAATGCCTCCCATCAATAAACCCCCAAAATGCGGTGCCTCTCTGTTAGTTACATAGGTGTCGCCGATCACTCTCTTGTCTGAGATTGGCGTGGTGTGGCAGCGTACTCGTGGCATCATCGCAGCCGTGGCCCCGTAAGTGCCAGGGACCTACCCAGCAGGTGGTGTCGCTCGCTTGCTGCTCTATCACCCTCACCCTTCATTAACCATATTTCAGCTCACAACACAACAGTCCATCTCCAACACTTTTCACCATAAATTATTTTTATGTCATAGCACACAGTGGTACCATACTCAGTAAAGACTCAAGTATGCCTCATTTATGTATGCTGCATTGAAAATTATTTCACCCCATTAATATTTACTCTTCACTCTTAAAACAGACATTCTGTATGTCTACATCTCCTTTCATTTTTTTTTCACATTGTTGTCTTCCATATGACACCCATACCCTTTCATTTCATATTTTATTTCACATCATTTCCTTGAATATATAAATATGATAAACTTGTATTCTTTTTCTAAATTCATATATCCTCCCACTTATTATTTTTAGAAGTTTAAAACCATTGTCAGTAGACACTTTAAAATGAATGGAATTCAGGAAGCCTATATGTGTACTGCCTCTCTCTTCCACTCAGTTGTTCAATGTGTTTTGACTCGAGTGGTCAAGTTGGCAGCTTGCTGATTATAACTCATGTCACTGTTCAAAGTTTTAACCTATATTACTCATCATATATTCTTTTCATTGTTCAACTCTTCACGACCTTTCCAGCAGTCTTATTTTCTTAACTTTATCTTTCCTTATGGTCTACTCTTCTTTATTTGCCTAGTTTAAAGGGCTTACCAGTCATTCTTCTTTTGAAACTGGCATAGCTTGACATTTTACAGTACATTGACAGTCATACCATTATTTGCGTGTTGGTCAAGCACACATGCAGAATTTCTTCCCAATCAATTTTATTATTTTTATTATGATAATTATTGTGTTAAAGGCTCAGTAACTCTAGACTGCTAGAAGGTAATTGCTCTGGGGGCCACTATGTGAGAGATTCTGCATGTTCTACCTTGCTTTTAGTTTGGGAAACAGGCAGTTAGGGAAGAACTACCTATGATGGTAATTAATGATCATGGTTTTTACATATTCTTTAGTTTTTAAAAGGAGACATTATAATTATGTTGGTTGCAAACCCTTGCATAAAAGTGATTGAAGTCAAGTGTCTTGGAAAACTCTTAAAAAAAAATAATAATAATTTTATAGAAGGCAGACTTAAAAAAATAAATTGTTTGTTGGTTTCTTGCACCACATTCGGCAGAGATTTCCTGAAGGATGTATCAGTGTTCTGAGTTGGAAAATATGAAAGAATAATTAAGCAGTTGGAATTTATCAATGTAAAGTAAATCCTGGAATGTTTGCCAGATGGCACACCATAGTATTTCTTAAGCAGTGGTGAAGTTGAGACGGAGACCTTGAATGAAACCAATCGTAGTTTTGCACTTATGCATTGCCTGAACATCAATGCCCCCATGTGATCATCTGAAGATTACCTTACATCTTAACCAGCCTGAAAGTTTAACCATCCCAAAAATTGTCTTGGATAGGGAAAGGGGGAGGTAATTATCAGGTGATACATAAAGGCAAAAATTGCAAATCGTCTCGTTCATGGTTTCAACTCCATCATGGTTCTCAAGCTTAAGGGTGAGTGAGTCTCATCACTGTGGCCCATTAACCAAAAACACCATTGTACTCTGTTGGTCCATCCACAACAACTGGCTGGCTCTCGCACTTTCCACACAGACTCTCCCATTATTCTGTCTCCCCCTCCACCCACGTTGACAGCCAGCATCTGTGGGCAAGCTTCCTCAAGAGTGACACACACACACACACACACACACACACACACACACACACACACACACACACACACACACACACACATTAATATATAATGGTTGCCCCTCGTTTAACGAGGATGGCCTGCCCAAGGGCCACCTAGGCTTGAATTTGTTTAAGGTGTAGAAGCTGTCGCCAACACAACAACCACACCCTGAGTTAACGAGTAGCATGACCCAGTGTTAAGGAATATTCCAAGAAGACCGGACAACTTGCCAACTACACTGGCTAACCATTACCCCAGAACACAATCCACAAATCGATTAACATCCAGGGTCCTAATTACTGCTGGGTAGATAGGCAAATGGTGTAAAGAAACTTGCCCATAGTTTCACCCTGCCCGGGGATCGAACCCGGTCCGCCGCTTCTGACCATTATACCACAGGTCACACACACACACACACACACACACACACACACACACACACACACACACCACACACCCACCCACACCCACCCACACACCCACACACACCCACCCCACCCACACACCCACCCACACACCCCACCCACCCCACCCACCCACACCCCCCACCCACCCACCCCACCCACACCACACACCCACCCACCCACCACCCACACACACACACACACACACACACACACACACACACACACACACACACACACACACACCCACACACACACACACACACACACACACACACACACACACACACACACACACACACACACACACACACACACACACACACACACACACACACACACACACCACACACCCACCCACCACACACACCCACACCACACACACACCCACCCACACATACACCCACCCACCCACACATACACACCCACCCACACCACACATACACACACACCCACACACACACACACACACACACACACACACACACACAGACTGTTACACTATGCACACATGCAAATTTCTCTCTCTCTCTCTCCTCCTCCTCCTCCTCTCTCTTTCTCTTCTCCCCTCTCTCTCTCATAATTTGTCCATCATTTGAGTGGGTTAATAAACAAACTGATGTGGCTGTCAGCGTCACTTAGCATCATTCATGGTCATCATCCATAGTCAGTTATTTTCTTCAGCTTAGATAAGATTTAGCTTATTATTGTACAACAGGTTTATTTTATGTCCTGAAAGAAAGTATTATATATATGTACATATATATATATATATTCTTCCTTATTGGATTGGCTTCATATTTGATTTTATGAAGCATTTGCAAAGTGTTTATTTTCCTTGCCTCTTGAATGGCATGCATATTCAAGCATGTTAGAATGAATCTTTGAAATAATTTATAAGAAGCCATGAGGAGTTAGAGATTCTCTTACAGCAGGTTGCTGAAGAGTTGTGGCTTCTGGTGCAACATATACCATCACTGCCAACTTTATTTCCCTCATACAGTATGGTGCTAGATGGCAAGTGTTGTGTATGAATGGTTGGCTGTGAGGAAATGAATGATGGTTGGATGTTGGTCACTAGATTGAATGTATGTTTGGATACTTAACAGGAAAATTGAACTGACTTACATTGATGTTTTCAGGAGGCTGGAAGTGGAGCACTACCTTCATTTGTACTTTTTACTTCATGCCTAAGCATCGGACATGAGGGTATCCTCACTACTTACATTTGTTGTAACTGAAGCCTTCCACTCAATCATATAAGCCTTAGGAAAAATACAGCATCAGTAACATTTATGTACTGAAAATAGTTTTTGCATCAGTTACTTTTAGTCAATTGCTAATAGCCAAAATAGAAGATGGGGCACAATTGTGCAGTACTACTCTGCGCATTCACCCCACAAGGTATGGGTTCATACCCCTCGCCAGACAGGGTTGGCAGAGCATTAGTGTCTACAGTGTGTACAGAGTTGGTCACTTTGTTATGTCAACACCCCAGACTAGCTAACCTTCTTACCTGGGAGATGCCTCTGCCACCTTACAACAATAGGATATGGCATAAAGGATGTTAGCTTTAAGTAAGGAATTTAAGGACTGATAAATTTATTGGACTAGATTTAATTTATTCTTCACACAGTTATTATAAAAAAGTATACCAATATAACATCAATGAGGTGCCTCTTGTGTCCGGTGGCTGGGTGTGTGACACATTACTGTGTGAGGTGACTAATCAGACGTGTTTCTCAAACAGAACTGCCAATCATTGAAACCCAGGAAGATAACCCCTTACCTAAAGGAGTTTCACCCTGTAAGTATCATTATCCATGTTTACTTTGTTGTAATTGCCATCAGAAAGCAGTTGATGAATATGTTAATTTATTTTAACCTTATCAATGTTTCTTCTGTGTATTTATTGTTATGTCAGACTGTACCACACACAATGACCCAGATATTCTGTACAGTATGTTGTTTCTAATACTGATGTAAAGGAAATTTCTTGTTAAGTTACATATTGCCTCACTATTATGGTGTCGTAATGTCTTTCATCTGTTATATAATTTGGATTCTGTACCAGTTGTCTTTGTTTATGAAGATGCTACTGATACTGTATGATGATATGGTTCATATAGGAGAGAGAGATCACCTTCCTCCAATGGTCCTTATACTGTCAAGCAATTTAGTTCACTCACCACTCAAGGTCATTAGTCAATTGGCTTCCAGTGTATGATGTCCGCCTAAGGCAGGGCAGAGTTTTCCATCATAAAAGATCCCTTATATTACATATAAATGCAATGTCATCTCACTAAGACAATGAATTATATTTGACACTTATTTCCTCCTGATAATAATGTAACACCTGTATTTTAACACTTGTTTCCTCATAATAGTACATGTGACACCTTTTCATTTTACTCACTTGGATATTTTTTGTCATTAATAGAATTTTTATATTAATTTTCTTAAAGTTTATATTAAACCACATGCACTCTTAACTGTTCTTAAATGTGTAACTAACCTTGTTTGTATTACTTCTGAAGTGTCTCTCTCTCTCTCTCTCTCATTTATTTTATTTATTTAGTTATTATTTTTTCTTTTCCTGGACTTTTTGTTTAATTGAGAAAAGTATTGCCTTCATCCTCAGTGAAGATTTTTCTCGCTACAATATATTGTCTTTAGGATATATCAAACACATGGTACTCCCCGACAAGGCTTTGTCTTCGTATACTCTTTCCCTGGGTAGAAAGTTCTTAAACTGACAATATGAGCAAGTGGTTGGGAAGTTGGTCTTTGCCTCTACACACACACATGCATACACAGTAGAGAGAGCTTATCTCATGATGTTATGTTATGTATATTTTTTGTTACAGGTGCCTTGCAACTGAATCGTCACTACGCAGAAACAGGAACACTGCCGACTCACCTGTCAGAGACCACTGCTGCACCTGTCCTCGCCACCTCAGACATGAGTGCACCTCGAGGTAATACCTGTTCAAACGAAGGCTTTACAGAAGTGGTTAAATATTGATACAATATGGAGATAATAGAATATGAGAGGGTGGATGAATAGTGCTGTTGCTATTATGTTTTTGGAAGCTAAGGAATGAAGCTTTGAAGAAGGTGGCTAAATATTGGAGGGAGGACGGTATAACCCGATAACCTGCGGTAGAGTAATTCACTGATCAACCCCCCAGTGCTAAAAAAAAAAAAAACACGTATATCGATTTTTCCCGAACATCATTTTAACTCTTGTGGATTAAAAGACAGTACAGTACAGTATGTAGAAGAAAGTAGAACCCGAATATGAGTCCATTACTTACCTTAGTTTGGCCGCCAGTCACTCATAGGGCGGAAAAGGGATTTTCACCTTTATTGCTCACACTAACACTTGACTTATTTGAAAATTTCACTAAAAGTAAATATAGTTGAAGCTTTCAACATCACTCTCTATTGATCTTAAATGTTTCAGCTATAAGTAGATATACTGTATATATACAATATTACGGTAACACATATGCATTAATTTTTAGTTTTAAATATACGTATGTATAACATCAACATGGGATTTTACGAGGTTTCTGAAACAGGATAGAGTAAACGTACATCTCAAGAAGCTGGCGAGTGTAAACATCCCATACTTGACCGCGTGAGATATAAAGATTCTTGTGTGCTACAACCAAAACACTTTGAATTTCAGATTGTAATTCGCATTCCTCTGCTTATCATTTGAGATTGTATGTCATAGATACCAGGCTATAGATAAAGAAGTTTAAGGGAGTTGGTTAATCAGGGTGTCTACTGGTCTGGAAAACCTGGGAAAGGCAGGAATTTTTACAAATAAACATGGAATTTTTATGTGAATTAATTCAACTCCAAAATATTGTACAGGTATTGTTATTTTGACAACAATCATATCATAAATTAGTGGTGTACAGTACTGTATAATAGGTAAATAATAAAGCTTTTAGGAATAAATTCCAGTAAATAGTTCACTCCAATAACTGAATTGTTTGTGTACCTCTCATAGTTCCTGTTAGTGATCAAATAACCAAATATTGCAGGTTATACCTACTAATTCTGTAATGAGCATTGTCATAGATGAATTGTTCTTATAATTAAGTGACTTTATTTAAGTGGATTATTCCACATATTATTCATGAGTCATATAGGTGGATCAGGAGTGTGATTTTTCGGTTTTTGCTAGATTCCGGCTTTTTTGGAATGTCCAGGTCTTGCAATCTTCAAGAGATCCTTTCCGTGCAACAATGATTCTTGGCCTCAGAAATAGGTTACGGCATCTTGAAAATTAGACAGATACCTTACTGTACCAGCCCTTTCTAGGAATGCAACAAACAGCATAAATGAAGGAAACCTATGCTTTATTAGGGGGTGGGTGGATATAGCTTTCTCAAATTGTCATATGGGTTGCTGGTTTGCTGTAATTTTACTGTTGAGAAAGTGAAGGCAGCCAAGTATAGTGCCATCCATGTTGCCTTCTTGTGTACCAACTACAGTAAGTACTCGCTTAACATCGTGGTTCCGTTCCTGAAAACTGCGACATAAACGGAATCAATTTTCCCCATAAGAAATAGATAAAATACGAGAGTTATGTTCCCCAGCCTCTCTGTGTCCCATAGAATATATTACATATACAGAAATTCAATGGCATTTTTATAGAAAACTAGCAGAATCGCCGCCTGCTCATTCGCTAGGCCACGGTAGGACGCCACCCTCTGGGAGACTCCACATTGTCTCACAGTTCAGTCCCCAAAACTTCTTCTTCTATCAATAGTTCATTTACGGTGTATGCAAGTTCCACCATTTTTTTCACTACATCAGTACAGCAAAGTATATTTTTTTTAGCATTAAACTGTTATTATTTTATTGTCCAATCATCACTACATATAACACCACCCATCACTACTACATATAACATCCATCATCACTACATATAACACCATCTATCATCACTACATATAACACTATCCATCACTACTACATATAACATCCATCATCACTACATATAACACCATCTATCATCACTACATATAACACTATCCATCACTACTACATATAACACCACCCATCACTACTACATATAACATCATCCATCATCACTACATATAACACCATCCATCATCACTACATATAACACCATCCATCATCACTACATATAACACCATCCATCAACACTACATATAACACCACCCATCATCACTACATATAACACCACCCATCACTACTACATATAACACCACCCATCACTACTACATATAACATCATCCATCACTACTACATATAACATCATCCATCATCACTACATATAACACCATCCATCATCACTACATATAACACCATCCATCATCACTACAGATTGGTAAAGTAGTTTCCGAGATTCTCGTGCGGACACACAAACAAACAGACATACTTCTTTGTTTTATATAGATAGATAGTATACAGTATATATAAATAAACTAAATCATTTTGTATTGTACTCACTGATGGGCGGAGGTGGTGGAGTGAGTGTGTGGTGGGTAGTGGAGCAGAGGAGGAAGAGGATGGCGAGTCCCTGAGACCCGGCGGGTGGCTCCTCCCGCTCTGACTGGGGTTCCTCGGCTGCTGGTTGATCCTCCTCGCTTATTGCTGCCTTCCGGCAACGAAAAAAGAATCCAGAGTTGACTGCTTAGTGTCCATGTTGCGGACAATCTTTGAGATGCGTTCTCTGTTTGGGTCGTCATCAATGAAGACTTGTATTCTTTGCTGGATCATGTCGAACGCTTCTGCCATCCTCTTGGTAGTTAGCGTTCATTGTGGTTTCTCTTCAGCGGCACTGTGTTCTGTTAGCAGTTGCAGATCTAAATTAGTAAGCTCTTCTGTATGGGATGCCAGGACTTGCTCAATATCCTCAGATTCCAACTCATGAAAGCCTGCCTGTCTAGCCAAGCTGAGGATATCCCTATTCACGGATGGGACAAAGTCCGTGAATCCCGGAAAACTGTCCACGCACTCGGGCCATAACTTACGTCACACACCATTCAGGCAACTTTCTGAAACTTCTTCCCATGCCTTGCCAATGTTATCGATTGCATGAAGAATGTTGAAGCCCCGCCAATATTCTCGGATCGTAGGTTTATTTTCTCCTTTAGTAGCCTTGAGCAGTTGGTCCATGGTAAGCTGTAAATAATACTCCTTGAATGCCACGATAACGCCTTGGTCCATAGGCTGCAGCACTGCTGTCGTGTTTGGAGGCAGGAAGACAACTCAAACATTGTCATGTAAGTCGTTGAGACTAGGAGGATGAGCTGGAGCATTGTCAATGACAAGAAGAATTTTGGGGTCCAGGTTCTCCTTGGCACAATAATCCTTCAGTGCAGGGACAGCGTATACAGTTAACCACTGGCTATATATGGTGCTGGTTATCCACGCCTTCTTATTTGCCTTGTAAATAACAGGAAGGTGATCCTTAGAGTAACCTTTCAGGACCCGTGGGTTGGCATCGCGAGAAATTAGCAAAGGTTTCAGCTTGAAGTCGCCAGCAGCGTTCGTGCCAAACAGCAGCATCAAGCAGTCTTTTGCTGCTTTAAAACCTGGCATTATTATTTCTTCCTTGGAGATATAGGTTCTTTTGGGCATCTTCTTCCAAAAGAGACCAGTCTCATCCACATTGAAGACTTGCTTTGCAGAGTAGCCTCCTTCCTCGATAATGCTTTTGAACTCCAGCGGGAATATCTTGGCAGCAACCGTATCTGAACTAGTAGCTTCAACAGTCATCTTAATATTATGGAAGTTATAACGATGCTTAAAACGTTGAAACCATCCTCAGCTGGCCATAAAGGTCTCATCCTTCGATCCTTCACTGAATTAGCGGGGCAGTTTCCAAATCATGGGTATCTAAAGAATAGCGACATTATAAATAAACAACGTTATTGGGAGCAACGTTAAACGAGGACTTACTGTATAGGGTTTACTTTCATTGTGGGACTTGCACACCTGACTCATGCTATTAATAGATCTTTTTCTTTTAACTTTATTAACAGTTGTGAAGATAGATAAACTAATTCAGATTTTATGTTGCAGTACCAACAACTCAAGCTGTGGTACCGCCACTGCGGGTGTCACATCTGATGCTGAACTCTGCATCCAGCAAAAAAACTAACTGTCATGCCCAGCGCTACACATCTCGCATCCCCAAAACTTCTCTACATGGCAGGTCTCCAACACCATCTACAAGGTCAAGATTGACAGAGGTATCAGTATCATCAGTGTCTGATAGTGGTAGTGTGGTTACAGAAAAAAGACAAGAAAGGCAAGGAAAAGTGCAAGGCGTGCAAGGCACAGTAAGCCTTGAAAGCTTGGTTGAAATGCTGAAAGTAGTGCAGAAATTCCCAGCTGACTCTAACATACATACCTCTGTTCTGCAGTTGGTAGAAGAACTGGTCAAATCTATGAAAAAGAATATTTCATCCCCATGTAAAACAGAAATAGAAGAGGAATTGGTGAGTAAACAAGATAAGCATCATCGTACATCATCAGAAACCATGGATAGTGATGTACTAACCTCAGAGGTATCAGGCAGCTGTGGTCAACAAAGCAACAAGACTCAGAAGTTGGCATCTCATTCTGCTTCACCAGTGTCTCAAGGGACACTCACAAGTAATAACCCCTCCAGCAATGTAACTCTGCCTATAGCTACTACTGTCAGCCTACTCCCACTTACATTATTTTCTGCAATGCCTTCCACAGTGTCTTCTGGGTCTAGAGTGGCACGTGTGGCACCAATAAACCCAGTGGCACCCACTACTGTAGTTTCTTCTCCAGGACTGACACGCACAGTCAGGCTGTTTGTAGGTGAAGCTTCCAATTTCTTGCAGGAGCCACCAGTGAAGAAACAACGTGAAGGTGTCCTCCCTATGGACTACCAGTTGCTCAGGAATAACCGGTTTGAACAAGGATCACTTGTCTCAAGCAACTTTCCAGACACTGTTGTGACACAATCCCGTGCCAGCACTACCCTTAATCCTGTTACACCTTTATTGCCATCAAAGGTTGTCAGTAACCAGTGTAGCTCTGATGGTTCCCTTAATGCTTCATCACCCACCATGGAAACTGAAACTTGCAGACTTGATCTCTCTACATCAGAGGAAGTTATGAATGCATCATCCCAGCACATTAATGAAACTCAAGTTGATTCTCCTCCTCCTCTAACAGTGTATCAGCCTATCAGTCAATCAGTAATGCATAACATTGGTCAGGCAACAACCCAACAAAATGTGCAGTCCATAAATGTCAACCAGAGAGTTACACAAACAACCTGCCTGGACACAGCACGGCAAACAAGCCAGACTATCAGTCAGCTGCCAACTCCACCAGATGGACAAATCATCAATCAACATGCAAGTCAGCAAAATATGACAGTACACACAAGTTTACCTGTAAGTGTCTCAGACCCACTCTTGTCTCAGTCTACCAGACTATGTCCACTCTTGACAAACCGTGTGATAGTAACATCAACCACCACAAGCCAGGTGGCCATGTTACCTTCTACACCTTTGACGTCATCATTAACTCGCTCTGATCCACTCTTGTCTCAGTCAAGCCCAGTTGCCCCCATACACATAGATGCAAACACACCAGCACCTGTTGCAAGGAATGAACCAGTGAACACTAGGGCAAGAGGAGACCCACTTATGGCACCCAACCCTACAGCCACCCAAGTGTCTATGCAGAATGAAGTCACTTCTGCCATCAATCTCTCTGAGACTGAGCTGTTGAATTACTTCGATCCAAATTGTTTTGATAATGGTAAGTTTTCATGTCAAGGAAAGAAAACTAAAGATTTGTTTGTTTGTTTAAGTTCGATACAAACTGTATTGAAAACAGTAAATTTACAAAAAAAACTATTTTCTGCTTCTCTGGCTTGTAATGTATCTCTCGTGTTTTCTTGGGTAGTCTTGATGTGGCAACCCTCACCTTTTCCACACTTTGTAGTGCAACGATTTCAAGATTGAGGAGTTTAGTGGATAATATGCTGCCTGTAGCTCATCATCTCTTGCTAAAAACTTTGGCAGTTATCTCCGATTTCTGATTATCAAAATACTGTAGTATGTACAGTTGAGTACTGTATTAAAATCCTTTCACCTCTCCTGCTGCTCCACAAACTCATGAGAATCAGACTCGTGAACCCAAAGCAGTAGACACTGATGCATTATTATGTTTATAAATGCTTTGGATTCATGAGTATGAAATCTTGGGGTTTGTGGAGTAGCAGATTTGGCGACAGAATTTTTGTTTACTGTACAATTCATAAGTACTGATTTCAGGTCTTGCTGCAGAATTATTAACACGAGAAAATGTGGAATTAGTTTTTGGCTGTATTGTCTTAGGAAGGTTCTGTAAGTAACCACGATTAAACAGTCAGTTAAATGATATAAACAGAGAAACACAATGGAGTTTTAAATAATAGGAGCTCAAGCCTTTCCAAAGTCAGGTGGAATCTTGTGAATCTTTCATAATTCTGTACAGTCGACCCTCGTTAATTCGGACTAATAGGGGGGGGGAGGGTGTCCGTTTTAGCCGATTGTCCGAATTAACCGATTTAGGGGTTAATATCGCATTATATTTCAAAGTCATTGTTTTCGTCACGATTTTATCCCACTTTCCACTGTAATACGTAAGTAATTTCGGCAAAAATATTACATTTCCGTGAATGTATTATATCAAGCACAGTATGAATAGAATATCATTGTAATATAACAGTATTTTAACCGAAAACTAGTAAAAAACCGAATAACATCTCAAGAACATCGAAAGCTTAGGTAAAGTCTTTTGTTTTCGTCATGTATTTTATCCTATTTTACATTGAAATACATCACGTTTCAGCAGAACTACTATTTATTTCCGAGAATATATTCATTCAGGCGCAGTTTAGGTAAAATATACGTGTGATGTAAAAGTTTTTTAACTGAAAACGATTCGAAAAACACGTACCCTCTAGCCCTGTTCAAGGAGAGGACTGGGAGAAGCTGTTTGGTGCTGCAGATGATGACAAGGAAAATGATTTGGATGGATTTTAATGAAAATATTCAGAAATATGGTATCGTAGTATTTATTCAAGTCAATTAGGATAGAATATTATTGTAATACAACGGTTTTTTAACTGAAAACCAATTGAAAAGCGATTACGGTAACATCTTTTGAACGAACGAAAGCGTAAGTCATTGTTTTCGTCACGATTTTATCACACTTTCCACTGTAATACGTATGTAATTTCAGCAAATATATTACATTTCCGTCAATGCATTATATCAAGCGCAGTATGAATAGAATACCATTGTAATATAACTGTATTTTAACCAAAACTATTAAAAAAAAACGAGTAACTTCTCTTGAACATCGGAAGGTTAGGTAAAATCTTTTGTTTTCGTCATGTATTTTATCCTATTTTACATTAAAATACATCACGTTTCAGCAAAACTACTATTTATTTCCGAAAATATATTCACTCAGGCGCAGTTTAGGTAAAATATACTTGTGATGTAACAGTTTTTTAACTGAAAACGATTCGAAAAACACGTGTACCGTCTAGCTGATTGATACTCAACAGCTGGTGGTGCGTCATGCGTCGTTGTAAACAATAGGAGGTTGAAGTAGATTACCGGGTATTATATTACGTGTGAAATATCGAAAAGGTTTTTATTACCGGTATTTTTTGTAGATCAATGAGTACTGTGATACCGTATATATGATATGATAAGTTAGCCTATGCTAAGAACTTCAACATAGACTACTGAAAACACGTTGTAAGGTAATTTAGCCTATTGTAAGTTGGTGAGCTTCATTTGCTAATTACTAATTGGTACATATTTTACGTTTCCATTGTTTACTGGCAGTAAATGGTAAATATTTTTCATGTCTGAAGCTAAAAGTTGCATCCCTCCCCCCACACTAGTGGTGGAGATGTTACATTTAACCAGAAAGATGCTGGTGTTTTATCCCAGCAGTGGGTGGACCAGCATTTTAGCTTAAGGTCCGCGTAGGTAATATTCCTAAAAAAAAAAAAAAAAAAAAGTTCGTTCAGATTTTGTCCAAATTATCCGAAATCCGGATTAAAGGGATCCGAATTAACGAGGGTCGACTGTATTTCAAAATTTTCTGAATTAGATATTCCTTTTCTAAAGAGTCCCAGTATTGATGCAGTGAAAATAGTGTTGTATATGTTTCAGTTAATTAATTGTGTAAATAAATGCAAAAAATAAACCTCTGGAATACATCAATCACTGTTAACACACAAACTAAAGTAGCATTTCAAGAATTAGGTGCTTGCTCAGTGAATCACAAAAGTAAAGTGCTGGTTGGGATTAAAACTGCTGATAGGCCAGAGTGGGAGTTACTTACATGCACAACCATGAACAAGGGTGCCAGTACTTGAATCTGAATCTACTCCTATATTAATTGTATCAAATGTATTGTGAATATGCTGCAACTAACATAAAATGCCTACATACTACATCGTATCGTTGATTGCTGTGAGTGTCAGTCATAGGATAACTACACTCAAATACATTTTATCTTTAAACAGTGTGAAGGTGAATGCAGGGAAGCATGTTGGATTCAGTACATTATGCAGAGAAAACCAGTCTGGTGGATGACATTGGGACAAGGTAAGTAGGCATGTAGCAGCCAGCAAGTTTGATCACACCTGCTGTTTTGCAAAAGACTTGACCTATTTGTTGAGAAGCCGAGTGCTGAAGTATCAATAGTGGTACTATTAATTGTACCATATTTGGTATGAAGGCATATTAATTACCCTTTTTAAGACAATATAGTAAATTTTTACTCATTTATTTTTATAGGCATCCTGTAGAGGATTAATGTATTCAGTCTTTAATAGTTTTATGTATTCATTAATGAAGAGATTATCGATGAATATTTTTTATTTATTATTTTTTTTTCATCTAAAATATAGGAAAGATGTTCTCTCTTGCTTTTGACACCCTTTTATTTCTTTTATATTTTATATTTGTATGTGATAATATATGTACCATTAGGTCTAAAATGTAGAATTGGCCAGAAGTGTGCACTGGGTGAAGTTTACAGTGTCATAGTTTGGACAGGGTTCATCTTTATCACTCTGCTTGGATTGTGGGACTCCATTTAAACAGTATAGGTAGATAGCAAATAAATGTATTATTAGTGTAGCATGAGCTGGAGTAAGATAAATGTTTGAGTAACAGTACCAGTATAACTGAAGTATACAAAGGGTAGTTCTTTTAACAAGATTCTGAACAAAGTATTGCCATACTTTGCCTTGTCTATGGATATCTTGTAACTTGGCCTAGATGGAACACAGTGACGTCTTTCATGGAGGTTCCTCTCTACATTAGTGAATTGAAGATTTGTTAGTTTAGTCTAAATATGATAGCAGTGATTGGTTGTATATATTTGAGAAGGAACAATTGTGCTCAGGCCAGTTCAAATGCATGTTGTGAAGTTAAAATGCCATTTACTACTGTGAATGTGTTGTATGATTTGTTTTAGTATGAACACTATGTAAAGGCAATCATATTCCAGCTTTTACAAATAATGATGCCTAAAGACATGTACATCATAATTTTATCATGTCATATATCACCCAACAAGAACATGCATAAATTCACGTTCATTATTGTTATGCTTCACTAAATGTTTTACCTAATGTTTGAACTTGTTGAAAAGTGTAGGATGGTTTGCAGATGTACAGGCGAAAATGCAGAAAATAATACATAACATTTATATCTTAGATGGATGTATAATGCCTATTGTTTGTAGTTGCATAATGGCATCTGTCTCACCCTGGATTTAATAGGCCATAATATAACTTAACTCTGGAAATATCCTAATGCAGTTCTGAACGCAATTCTGAACTTAATAAATAACTTTAAAAGACATTATGCAATGACAAAACTTGTGAGGATGTATCCCATATCAAAGACTGTCCTACAGGCAGTCATCCCTTCCCCCATAAACTCTTAAATGCTATCTTCCTGCATTATGGAGTTTTTTAAGGTAAATGTAGAATATTAAGTAGATACTGTATATCTTATTTAAAGAGAATTCTGTTAGTGAATTACATTTACACACAAAGTGTCTTGTCAGTTTGCTGTCTGTTTCAAGAAAATTTTTAATTTTTTATGCACAAATATAGATGGCATGTTCATTTGGCTTAACTACATTTATATAAAAGTGTATTACAGTAAACCCTGGATAACTTGGCATTTGATAATTCAGAATATTATATAACCCGGGTTGGCTATACTCTCGGAATTTATTTAAAAATAACTCAGGAAAAAATACGAATTACGATATAGAAAATAATCTTGGAAAATCACGGAATATTTAGTATACACTTATCCCCCCCCTATTTGCGAATTCAATTATTCAAAAAAATTTTTTTTTACCTTTATTCAAGATTTGCAATCGAAATTCACTTATCTGCGAGGCTGTTAGAAATTTTTTGACTGACCACTGGCAGTTGCTCATCTGCACCACTCCGTGGTTAGTCAGTTCTCTCATGTGTGCTGCACCGTCCTCCCTCTCTCACTCCACCCAGTACAGAGTATCTAGTACACCAGAATTAATATTCAGTACATCCTGGTAAAATTTGGTTCCTGCTGTACTGACCCAGTAACACCCAGGCCCCAATATGGGTCAGTGACCTGTGCCCTGGTGGGTTAATCCCCGTAAAAAAATAAAAATAATAATTTACAGTGCAATTCAATTTATCAAAATTTCAACTATCTGAATCTTCCGGGTATTCCAACTTTGTCCCCTTTGGTAAAATTTTTAATTAAGTTCTAACAGTCCAAATGCAACTGAAGTCATTCTAGTGTCTGACACCAGTAGCACTATACAGTAACTGCTTTTTAAACAAAATTGCTATGATAAACAATAAAATTTATACATAGCATATCATAAAATACAATAGCACATATTTTATGTACAAAAATAGCTCCTTCCATACTCGACCATTATCTTAGCGATGGCACAGTTCAGCCAGGCAGTCAACCAGCTGACTGAGACGTGTGTGTGTGTGCTGTGACACTGTGCAGTACAACTCACTGCCTCCACATACGTTCACCCCCCCTACACACACAAATGCTACTAATTTTTCTTATTTTATAGTTTTATATTATATAGTTCTTTATTTATAAGCCACATTAGAATATTAAAATTTTTATGAGGGTGGTCTACAATATCATGAGTGATATAAGTTACAAGGTTATTTACATACTCAGACTTGAATTATACATAGAGAAAAACAATGATTTTTTTTTATTTATTTATTCTTTATTTTGTTTAAGTGATCAAATTACAGTAGTATACATAAGTCCCGCACTGTTTATGTAGAGTTCCCCCTCCCTCACTTGTATCAACTACCATTCCCCTGCCTCTGTTGCTTACTATGATGCTTCATTCTTTGCCTGCAGTGCTGGTAAACATTACCTTTTGAAAATTAATAATTACATGTACAATGAAAGACAAAAGTCGTGTCTTGAAATTTGGTGAAAACATACCGAAGGGCTAAAACTTTTGGTGCGCTCTGCCTTGTGGTAGGGGGCTCTCATAATGTTTTATGAGTTATATTTAATGTTCAGACAAAACTGCGACACAACTTTTGTCTTTGATTGTACATGTACAATATATGGGCTGATAATGTTGTATTGATGTATTATTGTAGGGGAAGAAGTGCCTTGATTAATTCGGAATTTTGGATAATTCGGCAAGACCAGAACCCCATAGGTGCCGAGTTATCAAGGGTTTACCATTAATTGTTTTCAGTGCAGTATTCTCTATTTTCATTGTAGTTTTACTCAAACTGAGATATGTTAAATTTCAATGAAGAACCATATATTTGCTCATTAGTATGATTGGCATTAAGAGAAAGATATTAAGGATTTATCTATTTGTGTAGTGGAATGTTTTATGTCAGCTCAAGCTGAATGTGAGACATCATCATTGTGATTAGTTGGTCATATACTGTAGTATTGTACATTGTTACTTTGATTATGGTTGGTAAATTTTTCTGTAAGTTTAAATTTCAGCCATGCCATAATTCTGTATTTCTTAAAGACTTTATCTTGTCCCTGTACAGATCATCAAACAGAAATCTCATGTGTGTGCTGTAGAATGAGATTGCATTTTATTGTACTGTT